GTATCAATCTACATGGAGCTATGGCATGCCTGTGCTGGCCCTCTCACAACCTTGCCCAAGAAAGGAAATTTAGTGGTGTATTTCCCTCAAGGCCATTTGGAACAAGTTGCTTCAAGGGATATGTCCAATTTTGATCTCCCTCCCCAGATCTTTTGCAGGGTTCTTGATATACAGCTACTTGTAAGTACTTGAGATTAAACTCTTCTTTTCATTGTATTCTATGTTCCCCACATTAATATTTTCCTTTAGTTTTTTTGGTTTTTGATTTTTCTTCTTGATCATTGTGTTTAATTTCTTGAAACAGGCTAATAGGGAAAATGATGATGTCTATGCTCAGCTGACAGTACTCCCCACAACAGAGGTATGATTTATGATTATGAATACTTCAGTTGCGTTTTCTTTTTTTGTTTCTGAATTTTCTGTTTGATTCCAGAAAGATATAAATGTTTGAAGTGTAAAATTGCCTTCTTGATTATTATAAAAATTTGTCATCTTGGTGGGGCTTCATCTTCTTTTTTCTTGATTTCAAACTTGCAAATTGTCTTTGAGCAGTTCTTCTTTAAGGGATTTAGTTTAGTTCTTTAAGGGAAGTTTCAATAATTATTATTATTATTATGCAGTTAATTGGAGCAAAATTAGATGACAAAGAGATTGAAAGGATAGGGGTCCATGAAGATGGGGATGGAGTTACAACGGCAAAATCGACCTCGCATATGTTCTGCAAGACTCTTACTGCTTCTGACACCAGTACACACGGGGGATTTTCTGTCCCTCGTAGGGCTGCTGAAGATTGTTTCCCGCCTCTGGTTTGACATTCTTCTGGCCTTTTAGCATCTAATTGCACTTTATAGGTTGTATCTAGGGGAAATTTCTTAAAAATTTTGTGCTAAATTTTTTCCAATAGGATTATAAAGAGCAAAGGCCCTCCCAGGAGCTTATAGCTAAAGACATACATGGCATTGAATGGAAATTCCGTCACATTTATAGAGGTAATAGATTTATTCCTACATTGTTTTTGAGTATGGAAATTCTGACAGTTTGGTGCTAAATGTACAGGCCAGCCAAGGCGGCATTTGCTCACTACTGGATGGAGTATATTCATTAGCCAAAAGAATCTTGTATCAGGGGATGCAGTTCTTTTTCTGAGGTAGACACCCGTATAAACTCCTTGATTGTA